CACCTGGTGCGTAGTTAAAACCATTAATTAATCTATTGTCATATCTGTCACTTTGTGGTATCATTCAGAACAATCTACGCTAATTGGACAGTATAATGGTCAAAATATGCATAAACATTGACAGAATACATCGATGCGAAGCAACATTATGCCGCCTGCAGTCATCAAGCATATTATATATGTTTATAATGAAGATGAAGTTTCTCATCTCATGGAGCTTGTTCAAGATAACATGGCTCCGTAGAGTAATTACAAAAAAGCATCGATTTTTCAGATCAAGAACCAAAACATCAGCAATGTTTCAAAATGGACATTGATATCAAGCAAAACTCCATCGCTTGAAAAGGCGTTTTATTGTTTACAATAGCCCACTTGCTGTGCGAAAAAAGAAAAATCCATTGCACAAAATTAGAAAAGTTTTTGCATTTTCTTGATGAGGGGAAAGGTAGTAAAATTTAACTTGAAGTATTATCACGAAACACCAAATCAAAAGGTATGAACAAAAGTAAAATCAAGTAGCTAAAATTCACTTCTTTTGTTATCCACTCCTTTCTCCATAAAAAATGTGAAAGAAGCACTCAGGTCCTTGTAGAATTTTTCGTGCAGCTGGTAACCTGGATGCAAACTGCGAAACAATTTATAGATACTACTGTGCTCAGAAAAATTCAATCATCTGGTTATTGAATTAACATAGCCAATCGAAGATTGGAAAAGAGTAATGAACGCAAGTAAACATTAAAAAAAAAGAAAAGACTTTCTAAAAAATTCAACTTTCGATATTCAAAGAAAAAAATAGATGTCATTTGAGCTGTTTGAATTTCTAGAACAATTTATGATTGGAGCTTTTTTTGATAACATGAACCCAAGTTGATAAAACTGGATCAACAGGTAAAGTTTTTATTCCGCTGGGAAATCTTAAAAAAAATCCATTTTCGAAACTAGAAATCGTTCACGTTTTTTTTTGTGCCATTTCCACGTTCGTATTTGGAGAATGCTATTTACGCCACTTTCAGCAAATGAATTTCAATTGAACTTCAAAAGTGCATTATACCTAAGTGCATCAATATTTTAAGAATTTTTCCTGAAAAAAAATTAAGAAAATCAGCAAGACCTATTTAAGTCTTCACTACGTTCATTAGTCTTAATCTTAATCAGATCAAACTCTATCGCCTGAAAAGGAGAATTAAAGCACAAATATGAAACAAAGATAACCGGTTAGAACAGAATATTCGGACCATAAGCTTAAAAAAACAAACTTTTTATTTCAAATTAGAGTCGTTTTTTTTTCTGCGATATGTGAATAAAAGATCTATTGGACAAAAAATTACAACTTTGGCATACTCGACAGTCATAGTAAAACAAGCAAACTGGACAACAGTTTTTAAAGAAACATGACTGGAAAACCCCCAAAAAAATCATACACAAATACACTACGCTGATCGCAAGTGTTAAAACGTAAGCAGGTGACAGCTAGGAAGGAAACAGTTTTTGTTCCGGTTACTTAGCCTAAAATCGGGACAGAACAATGGTTTTGCTAGTTTTTTTTTATTAAGAGCTATATTAAATTTTAAATAAGCTTTATTACACAGAGCGTGTGTTGCACTTCGGGAACACAAGCGATAAAACGGCAGAAAGTATTTCCTGAAATGTGGGAAAAAACTATGAGGTACGAAAAAGCAAAGAGAAAACAAGAACGTCATTTTTTGTATGTTTTTCTATTCTCGCAGAAAAAATTTCATCGTTGAATCTCTTTGAAGCTTTTTTAACACAGAGGCGAAGCAGAGCTTCGCAACGCTTGTCATGCAAAAAAAACACACATTGCACTACAAAAAAGTGAATGAAAAAAAGACAGAAGTCAAAAAAAATTCTCAAAAATTATGCTGGAAAAAATTACTTGAAAATATCACTTGACTAAAGTTGAAAAAAATACTTAAGTTGAAAAAAGGTTCATATTTGTATCGGATGAAATTCATAAACAGCCTTTTTAAAAATGGAAATCATTTACCGAGTGACAACAAAGGCGGCAAGCTTTGGATCAACACCTGTTGAGCCGAAAACAAAACTCTTGTCGTAAGAAAATTCATAAAATTCAGAACCCATCCAAACTGAAACACATAATCCCAAACGAAAATTTGTTTCCCTCAAAATTATGCAAAATAACTACTATAAACTGAAACTTTTTGAATATTTTAAGAAAAAACGAAAAAAGAATGAAAAAAAAACTTTCAGTTATAAAAAAAAACGTTTAAATTAAAACAAAACCTATGCCTTAAAAAATAAAAACCAATTAAAACCCTACTTTTTACTCATACTGCCAACGTTGCTAAAAGAGCTGAGTTTAAAGTCCGCTCTTTAATTCTTTCATCGCCTACATAACGACTTTTCTTTCGTTTAAATCTCTCAGCGTGCGAGAAGTAATTCATGTCATTAAAACATTTTTTTTTCAAGATAATTACAAACTGAATTTTGAAAAGATATTTACAACCTGAAATTACCACCTGAAACTAAAAAATCCTCTAGAGGAGATCCCCCTCTAGAAGTGTGGACAAAGTTGTTGACGGGAAAAAAGTCTAGTACCCGATTGCAATACCCTTGCTTATCGCAAGGGTAAAAAATCTTTCAAAAATCTTCTAGGATAGGCCTTTTTTATACAGAGGCGAAGCGGAGACTCGCACCACTTGCAATTCAACAAACATAAAACACATAAGAAATCGAAAAAAAATTAAAAGCGTTGTAAACTAAAACTTTCTTATGTCTCGATAAAACTTCATTCTAGGCAAATATTCCAGACTTTTGAATATTAAATTAATCACTGAACAAAACTAATGAAGAGTAAATAAAGCCGACACTCCTTGAGCAGACATTAGCTGAGCCGAAAAAATGATTTTCTTTATAAAAATCTTTCATGTTTTGAGTCCCTCGTAAAACTACAATGAACAAAACTTGCAATTGCGACTATAGACAACAAGAAAAAAACCGAGATGTGGCAACTAAGCCGACAATCTTTGATCAAACACCAGTTGAGCCGAAAAAAACTGCAGAAATGTCAAGAAACTTTTGTTTTAAGAACCCCCCCCTGAAACCCCTTGATTTTAAAAAAAATCTTTCATGTTTTGAGTCCACCTGAAACTGCAATGAACAACAACACTTGCAATTGCAACTTAAATGAAAGTTGCATACAGACCAAGCAAAATCTGTGATGCGGCAACTGAGCCAAAAAAACTTAAGCAGAAAACCGAAAGCCTGACAATTCAAATTTTACCGGAAAAAAAACATGCACATATATTGAAAAAAAAACACGATCCCCCCGACTCAAACCACAGATCTTAACGTCCGAAGTCAACAGCGTACGTCTATTATCCGCTTTTAAGACTCAGTCATTCACAATTTTTACCACGAAAATCACTTTCGTAATTTGAGAGCATAATTTGTTTGGTTTTTTAGCAAATGAGTTTGAGTTGAAATCACAGGTCACACTGCGAAAAATCCAATTAGAGCAAGCTCAAATTTTAGGTTTTTTTCGGCAAAACAACCACCCGACCTACACATGTATTCACTTCGTTCATACACACCTCAAAGTTCAAATCTGATTTTAAAAAATACTAATAAAAACTATAAGAAAAAACTCTGTTCCATCTTTCATCAGATTATATCGATTATTTGTTTAAAAATTTCGAAAGTAAACAAAGATAGCCAGTTATTGTGCAAGTAGCCCTCTTTGAAAATTTTTTCCAGTCATTTCTTATATTAGCTCTTCCTGCGTGGTGTGATAAAACAATCTGATGTAAAATTAAAATTTAGCATATTCGACAGTCATAGTAATAAAAGCAAACTGGAAAAAAATTGTAACAACACAAAACAAAATATCAAAAAAGCGATTTTTTTGGAAGTTTTTGATTCCCAAAAAGATACTAAAAAACTCAAAAACGGATTTTACTTGCTTAAAACCAAATTTTCAGGGCTTAAAATGAGCATATGTAAGCTGTTGTAAGCCTGCTTGCTCGCTTTATTCGCTCGAAATTGAAATAAAAATCAAAAACTTTAAACCGGCTTTTCTCAATACCGAGAAGAAATTTTTGAAACATTTTTATGTCGCTCGAATCACGACTGAAAGAGCTTTAATTTGTTATATCACTAGACCCATTCCGATCATTATTTGTGTTACTTGATTTTGCGAGAACAAAAAAATGAAACAACCGAATACTAAGCTCCTCCACATTTTTCAAATGGTCGGAACAGCAAAAACTGAAGTACAACGACCAAAGCAAGTTGAGTTAAACATTGCCGCACAGTCTTCAAAAGCAAAACAAGGATATAGCCAGTTACTGTGCAAGCAGCACAGAATGTTCCGACTATATAATGTTCCGACTAAAAGCAAAGCAAAGATATAGTCAGTTACTGTGCAAGAAATCTGAAAGTAGAGCTTAGACATTTTCGTCAGTCAAAGTAAAATATGCAAATTGGAACTCAAGTTTTGAAGAAAAATGATCAGAAAAACAAAAAATCAAAAAATTTTCATTTTTTTTTTAATTTTCAAATCTTTTTTTAATTTTCAAATCTTTTTCACAACTTTTTTTAAAAAATTTTCAGGTTGCTTGATTCTATGATGGCGCTAAAAACTCCAAAAATTAACTTTATTTTAGTAAAAAAATTTTCAAGGCTTAAATTAAGCATAAATAAGCTAATATAAGCCTGCTCACTCGCTCGAAATTTGACGAAAAATCAAAAACTTCAAACCGGTTTTTTTATGGTAGTTTTTATAAATTTTATAATGTCGTTCTAAACACGACTGAAAAGGCTTTAATATGATATAATGCTCAATTACTTCCGATGATTATTTGTGATACCTGATTTTGCGTGGAAAACAAAAAGAAAAAAAATTAAAACAGACCCGAATACAAAGTTCCTCCCATTTTCAATGGTCGGAACAAAAAATTACATGAACATAAGGTTACCTCATCTACTAAACTTCACACTTGAACCGCGTCTCATTGAAAAAATAACACGCTAATCACAGCTGAATTTCACATTATTTTTTGTATCAGACAAAATATGACATTATCGTTATTTAAAGTTAAAGTTTAAAGGTTTGAATTAGAAGGTTGCGGCATAATTGCATATCATGAACAGCTTTTTCAAATTTGGATCAACAACAACGACAATCAAGTAAATGAATCAATTCCATTCTGTAGATACAGTGAGTAAATTGTAATTGTTTCTCATCTTATTGCAATCCAGTCTACGTCGACCACAGTTTTTATTTGAGTTTTCTTTAAATTAAAAAATACTGATCGAAAATAAATTAGTAGTAGACAATGTCTAACAGTCAGATATCACCTCTAGATGTCAATTATGGGTTAAGTTCAAAACTGATCAAACTGATGTCAAAATATCTAGATAGCACATAGAAAGACTTTTTGATGAGCTAAGGGTTTTGAGCTAAGGTCTTCATAGATATCTAAACGTTCACACCATAAATTGATCAAAAAGAACAGTAACTTTTAGACTCATGATTTGGTTTTGTTCAGCTCTTAATATCAAACAATTTATGTCTATCCCATTTCAAAGTTTAGTAACAGCTTCTCTTCCTTTGTATTAGCTAACCATCAAAGCTTCACAATTCTTGGTCTCTTTGTGTTTGACAGAGACAGAATCTAAATATTTCTAGTTTGTTTCGAAACGAGCAAATGATAAAATAAGTTCCCGGGAATCCATTCTGAACTCTTTTCAGCAAAACTAATGATAAACTCAATTCCAGATGTCTGGCCGAATAGTGCAGTATGTCTACTTGCTATTTTCGGACATCTAGCACGAACACACTTCCGTCCGAGGCACTGGCCCCCACTTTGTCTCCTCTAGAATTCCAGCACACTTCAAAGATACCTCCGGTACCTCTGTATGTGTTGACTAGTTGGCCCGACGAAGTACTCCAGATGTGAACGCATTTGTCAAAGGAGCCACTGCAAAACAGTCAGAACAAGTTAATTGTAGTTAAAATTGAAGAAACTTTAAATCATGATTTTATTTATAAATTAACAGGGGCGGCCGATTTTAGTGAAGCTGCACAGAACTTGGATATCAGAGCTTTCATTGTCGAAGAAAGCTAAAAAAAATTAATTTCCGTTTTTTTTAGAAATGAAATGATTCAACCCAAGATTATAATACGCTTTTAAGGTAGATTAGTGAATCATTTAAGTGGCGCGCGCAGTAACTTCTCAAAGAAGCAATTTTCAAAAACCGACTTATTTTTAGGTATTCCAAGTTGACTTTACGACTAAGCTGCACGCAAATATTTAAACAAAAAGGCAAAAAATGCCGTTGCTCGACATTTTTTTGAAAAGTTTTGACCAAAAAGATTGGCGTGTGATCAACCAAAACTGGGTGTCGTGAAATAGTACTAAATCTTCCAATCTAAAGTGCCTATGCAAGGCAAATACGAAGGTATCAGTATTCATATCACACAAAACTTTTAACAGAACGATTGTTAGAGGTGACATTTATCTCAGTTCAATTACAAAGTGAGTGACTCACGCGTGAAAAACTACTCATCCAAATTAAACAACTTCTTAAACACCACACACCACTATATACAAGCTACATACGTCAGATTTGTTAACGAGCCACATTCATAGCTTGAGGTTTGAACAGTGCGCAGAACAATACCAACAAACTGACTCTTCAAACTCGTGATTCAGTAAACATGGCGTCACCCGCTAGGCATATTGAGGCGCCCTCTCATACACAGTGGGTAGAAATAACATCAACATGTAACTACACTTGATTGACAATGTAATTGACAGGTTTGACTGAAAACTGACTTATCATTCAGATGGTACAAAATGACAAAATCACCAATAATATGAAACCCCAAAACAAAGAAAAAAAAATATTCTTCAGCCTAAAATAAAATATATATAAATCGTTTGATGTTCGAAAAAATGTTTAAGAAATAGGTCCAAAAATTTGTACCTACGGCGCTTGAATTACACAATAGCTCGCCGAAACTTCGATACCTAGACAATTGAAACAATATACCGAAGTTATGCTAACGGCACATTTATTGTCTCTTAAAAGACTTCAAATAAACTTGCCAAATAGACTCAATGTTCATTTATAAACACATAAGAAAGACTTGCACCTGAATCTTAACGTAGCCTATTGCTCTTAAGATTTGATAAGACTCTTTGATTATGATGGCTACGCCTGAATGATGCTTATTTGGACTCGATAATTGCAGAGTTAGTTTAATCTTAAGAACATCAAAAAGCACAGCTGCTCGAGTGGAAAATTGCATAAATAAAGAGACCTGGCCATGATAAATTGCAAACTTTTGGTTCGAAAGAAGATTAATGCCGCCACGCAAGTAAAGCATCGGTTTCTTCGGTACTTAATTCAGTCACAGGAATTGAATTCTTATGCTATTAATTATATCATGCCATTTTTCGCATTTTTTTTTCGTTGAAATGAACATCCTGAGCAACGTTGGATTTTTTCGTTGTTGCCCATAAAGTGTGCGACTTTGTTTGAAAAGAGGATTGACTGCATAGCACAAAACTCGCAAGCTCGCGTGTGTAATGAAAAAGTATAACAGCGTGTCGCGTAGAAGTTCCATCAGAAAAGTTTAGCAGCACCAATTCAATGAACACCAACTACATTCAAGCTAGGAGAGCCTATATTTGGTGCAAAATAGTCACAACTACAATTCACAGCACGGAAGACTATTGCACAGTATGTAACAGTTATAATTCTCAGCAAGAAGACAGGAGCAAAATATTGCCATCCATTGCCAAAAGAAACTTCAGTATAAATACTTGCCTGGCTAGATATTTTCCATCTGGACTGAACGCGACAGAGTACACTGGCTCGGTGTGTTTGGATAGGGTGTGCACACACTTGCCCTTCTCAATATCCCACAGCCTCACTGTCGAGTCGAAAGAAGCACTGGCTAGGAACGGATTCGCATTCGGGTTGTCTGTCGACACTCCTAAATTGCCCAACACAAAAAATAAAATAAATGAGAGCAACCGGTCGCTTCATATTTCTAATATAGCAATTTCATATGACGTAGCAACTTCATAGTATAATTTAGCATTTCTGACATATACTTCGTTTAGAACGAAAGTTCGTTTTTAACTCAATTTACTGGATGATTTTTTTTTCAAGTGTTCAGCATTGACGATAAAGAAGCGAATAATATACTTTAAAAAGTGAACAAGGCTGCTCTAAGAAAAATTTTCGTTCAAAAAATTGAGGTAAGGTTCCAAAAAAAGAAAAAGGATTCTTTTTTCAGATTTTTTAGAAGATCCCTTTTTGATGCTACGTAAAAATTAGTGATGTAATTAGCTTAGTAATTATCAACACAGACGTGAAGCTGTGCTTCGCAAACACTAGCAAAAAACGACAAAGAGCAGCTCGAGTTCTAAAAGGCAAAAAAAGTAAAAATTAGCCTTGAATTAGCAAAAATTCGGCGACGTCTCGGACTCAAACCTACGACCTAGAAATTGTGAGTCTCACGCACTAACCACTCAGCCACGGACGCTTAGTCCATGACAAACACTAGCAACAAATAAAGCCGAGACCAGATACTATGAAATTTCCAATGCTACAAATCATGATAACAGCAAAGGCACACAAGTGAACAATTTTATTTGCGAGTTAGGTTAGAAAAAAAAACAAAGCTAGCGTAATTTATCAACCAAACAGCTTGCCTAAACTAATTTGATAAGACTTCTGAGTCGAATTAAGCGTTAATAGCACCAAATAAATCGCGCGTTAACTATCCAAAATTGTTAATTTTCAAACGCCCACAACTTAAGAAAAAAAAATTGCAGTTGAAATCTCTTTTTCAACTTGAGCTGAAGAGATTAATATTTTTCAGGTGATATGAAAAAAACTCCCGTAAAAATAGCTAGTTGAAAAATTAGCTGAAAAACCACACCGAGCACAAAGATTCCATTCCATCACTTTCTTCGAAAGTCGGAAACACAGGACTGCTCGTATCAAAGCAATGCACGGAATATTGTGACTCCTTTAACTGGTCTCGAACAAACTTCGTAACGAAATTTTGATACACTAAATTTTGAACCTGTTTGCTTTTCCTCCCCCATCAGTTGGAAAAGCGTCTATAAACTCGAAGAGACCAAAAATAATGACTTTTTTTGAAAAAAAATCATTCGCCAGTTCAAAAAAAAAACATATATAATCATAACGCTCTTTGAAAATCCAGAATCTTGAATGATTACTTTTTTATAACATCAACCCCATTTGAGAAAACTCGATCAATAAATTTTTTCATCTGCAAAATAAAATCCATTTGACAAACCAGGAGTCATTTAGATTTTTTGCGCCATTTGAACATTTGTATTCGAGAGCAAAATTTTGCTTCATTTTACAAATGAACTTGATTTGAATTGAAAAAGTAACGAAAAGTTAAACTTCAAAAACTTTCCAGAGGGTAAACACATCCGAATACAAAGTTCCTCCTGATTTTCAATGGTCGGAACAAAGTATTCACTGCGTTCATTGGAACTTAATAAAAAGTACTATGAAAATTAGTCGTAAAGGGAATTAATATGGCCAGTTAGTCAACTTGGAAGGATTACGAGTACTGAGTAATTTGCCATGCTTAATAAAAATTCCCGCTTTTAAGTAAAATGAATTCAAATTCTTAAAATTGCGCATAAATTAGTCCAGAAAATGGTGAAATTATTAATTTTTTGAACTACCTTAACTTAACCAAAAGAGAATGCCTGAAAAATATTTTTTACATTCGAAGTCATGGAGTCGAAATCTTCATCGGGTCATAGAAATTTCTTATAAAAACCATTTAATTTGTCCACCGTTGCTACTTCGGAAAGCCGTTACTTTCTCCGAAAATCTAAAAAAACAATGAATCTCAGCGATTTAAGCAACAATTCAAAAAAATTTAATTTCAACTTTTCTCCAACAAAAACTACACGACAAAAAATCAGTATACGCCAAACTTACAAATGATTTTTTAATTTACGATTAAACATTAAATACATTTAAAAACAAAACCAACTTTACCGACAAATCGACCTCTTAATATGAAGTCGATTAAAGCTCTTATGCGAAAGGCTACTACGAGCAATGGCTTTTTCAAAGCTGTGAATTTCATCGCCAGAGTGAAAACAAGCATAATTGAAAACAACTCATGTTCGATCGATTTGGTCGAACCTTTTAATGAGTGGCAACTGCTTAAGTTTTATTGCTTTAATTGACCAAATGCTAAATAATCGGTTAGTACGGTAAGGTAAAAATGCAGCTGATTCTATTTATCTTTTACGCCCTATCAGACTTGCATGAGAAATTGCGATTTCAAGTCTTTTTCTCGTGCTTCGAAAATTTAACAAAATTTACTTCTTAAGGTTGCTTCTTCAATAAAAAAAAACTTCTGTTATCACTCAGCAAGCATAACTAGACTAAATAACCCCCCTAATGATTCGCAATATCTCGGACCTTGATCCGGACAATAAATAAAGAAACCACAAATGACTCAGATTTCTACTGGCTGTAGATATCAAACAAGCCACGTCGAATATGCAATTTTCCAATATTTTAAAATTTTTTAAATTTTTCTTAAAATCTTTTCTAGAATCGTTTCACCTGTAGGAGACCACTTGATGGTGTATATCTCCCTGTTATGGGCGGATAGAGAGTGGACGAATGTCTCGTTCTTCAGATTCCAGATCTTGATGGTCATGTCATCAGAGCAGGAGGCCAAGAGGAGTCCACTCGGATCCCACTTGATCGCATTCACCTCGTTCGAGTGGCCTATAATCGAATTAGCAGAAAAGTTGAAACAGTTTTATCAACAGAAAAACTGACGTGGCGTCTTACGGTACGGCAAGGACTGTCATGGGCAACATAATAAGATATCAAGATTAAGACTCTTTTCGATCTATTGAGCCATCCTTCGTTCTGTTCATTACATCACATTTTAACATACTGCTAGTAAGCCTTCTTTGGAATCACATTACTCAAATAATTGTTGGGGGAAGCGCATGTTGTGAAATCAATTACAATTTCAAAACGATCAAACAAAGATTTTTCATTAAAAAATATGCAACTAAAAGTGGTTAGCTAAATTAACCAGTTCAAATGGGTACAATTACTGCCAGGAGAGACATGATCCAAACAAAGGTGATTATGTTCATTTAAAGTATAGCTCAAATATTGCCTTGTCCAAAACATGTTTTTTTTTAATTCAATGAAAACTCCTTTTTGTGTCATTTTTTTTTCATTTCTAGAAGAATGAAATCGTTTTGCGCTTTTCGTTTGATAATTTACAATAAAGTTCTTGTATTGTCAGAAATCAGCACAGAAAGTTATGAAACTATTTGCTGAAAACGGATAAAATTATTTGCTAGAATAACACTTCATACACCACTGCTCTTATTCTATTATCTCGAACCCTTCAATCTATCCCACCTGTGAATGTCTTGACAGGTCTGTCCTGTCCCAATTTGCACACATGAATGTACATATCGGTAGAGCAGGATGCGAATGACTGGTTGTTCTGCCAGTCCACGTCTAGAGCAGGGGCCGAATGGAACGCGAATATCTGCTGACACTCTCCTGCAACACAATAAGGTTCTTCACTCAAAACAAACTGTTAACACCAAAAACTCTGATACTTATTCGCGTATACTTATTTTAGAATAACTTATTTTAGAAAAACCATTACTTATTTTAGAATAAATGTATATAGTTTTATTGATCATTAAATGAAATTCTCCGAGAAAGCGCAATCATTTTGCATTGCTTTTTTGTCAATTCGAATACCGTTTTGAAAACTCGATTGCAGTTTTAATGCCAATTCACTGTATCAAGGTCAGAATTATTTAAAAATTTAAGACGTTGTCCGATAAATTTGTTGCAAGCTATAGCAAGTGCGTTGAATGTTTTAGCCTCATGAACCATTCCAAATTAAATTGAAGCTTCTTCATTGTTCGAAATATATGAAAGAAGATTAGAACTATTGTACTTAACACAGTAAATGAAGTGAGTTTTTTCAAAATGTTTAGCCAAATTTTACTTTAGACACCTTAAAGGACAGTCTGGACATTCAAGGACTCAATATGATTCTTGCAGTTATGCTGGATATCAACTAAAGATGTTTAAAAGCTATCAATTGAAGAAAGGGAAATGAGAAAATCATCAAGGAAGTTTGTATGATCTTAATCAGGGGCGGATTTAGGTGGGGGAGGGGCGCTGACGCCCTTCCCTCAGGGATTCGACCCACTGCCGACCCAATGGTCCCCCTTTGAACTATTTTAAGATATCCATTTTTGGCTGACGGACCCTAAAATTTTTCTAAAGGTGGGAGCGCGCGCCGAAAATTTTGTTTCTGAATTTTAATGGGGGAGCAAGCGCCGAAAAAACGCGATTTTTTGGTAAAATTTTCTAAAAAGTGCCTTTTTGGCCTGTGTTTTAAAAGATTTGCATGCGGCGCAGAAATTTTTGGCCGAAACAGACTTTTTAGTGGTTTGGGAGAGCTCGTAAAATTAATTTGATCGACCTAAAAAAAGGTCGACAAAATTCGATTCGAAATTTTTTTGAAAATCCGCCCCTCCTCCCCCCTCAAGAAAATCCTAGATCCTCCCCTGGAAGGAGGTAACTGTGTTTTCAGGTTGCCTTCTCATCTCACCTGTGGTTGCGTCCCAGATGATGGTGGTCTTGTCCACTCCCGCTGTTAGAACGTAGTTTCCCTTCTTGTTCCACTTGAGGGCGAAGATGGGACCCTTGTGGTAGCCTGCAACGGACAAAAAAATATATATTTATTAAACTTGGCTCAATTTCTGTCTGCAAAAAAAGCCGATCCGATCAACTAGGTTGATATCCTGTAACAAATCCTTTCAAATGATCACTCTAATTCAGTGATTAATTAAATTAATTAGTTAATGCAAAGTTTTGAAATACACGGCGAAGCAGACAGAGCTTCGCAACACTGAAGAAAAATAGCATCGTAAGATCATTATCTTATATAGAACTCCTGCCTTTTCATCGCATGTGAGTAAATATCCCGCATTCGATGACAATTTGTAAATTATTTGAAGTTCACAACAAAGGTTCCACAACAAAGATACCACCCCCCCTTACCAATAAAACCAAGCCTACAAACAGCAAATGTAATGCCAAGCGATACTGAGGTAGTTACGCACCCAAAGTACTTTTTCATTGATAGCTAGCAGACGGATAATGAGAGAAAAGACACTAAGTCAAAGGTTTTTTTTTAAATTCCGCAAAATGAAATCCACAAAAATATCGCAAAATAGTCTCGAATTATTTTCAATTTGAGCAAAACAAGCCATGGTGCCAGCAGAGTTGGAAATAAATTAAAAGTTTCAAGAAAACCGAAAAAAAGTTAATCAGAAGTTCAAAGTTGAAGAAAAAATATTCAGAGGCGAAGCAGAGCTTCGCACCACTTAAGATACAACACAAACATGAAAAACCTAGGAAGTCGAAAAAAGAAGAAAAAATAGGTCTTTCAAACTTTAAACTTTCGTCTTGACCAAACTTGCCACACATTTGAAAATTAAATTAGTTAGCACCGGAACAAAACTTTGAGCTGACACCAGTTGAACCAAAAAATATGATTTTATGAAAAAAACTCAAATCTTTCAAGTACCCCTGAAACTAGAATAAACACTACTTGTACTTGCAACTGTAATGAAAGTTGCTTGCAGCACAAACAGAATCTGTGATGCGGCAACTTCTCCGACAAATTTGAGCAGACAAACGCAAGTCCGACTATTCAAGTTGAGGATTAACCTAGAAAATGTTAAAAGAAGACAAGAAGTGAATAAGCAAGCGTTTTTACGGGAAAAGTATAGTTCCCGATTACAAGACACTTGCTCTCGTAAGTGTTATCATATTAAAACTTTGAGTACTTGAAATATTTTCCATGATTGGCACTTTCTTCTCATTTAGAGAAAACTGGATCAAAAAGTAACTTTTTATTCAGCTGGGAAGTCAGGAAAATAATGTCTCACTTTAAAACTAGAAGTCATCCACGTTTTTCGTGACCTTGAACCTTTTGCTGTTCAATTGTGGACTTTGCCTTCATTAAAAAACAAAAAGAACTGAACTTGAAGAATTTAAAAATCAATAGTAAATTCGACTCTTTAACACTCACAAAATCAACAATAGCAGGTCGCAGTGCAAGTAACACAAAAAGTTCTGACCACACTGATTGAAGAAAAACTCATCCACTTATCAAATTCTTAAAAAATTAACAAAAAACATCACGACCATTATAAGGGAAAAAACGTTGATTCCTTTACACATAATCACCGCCAGTAAATAAGCATTCAAAATCAGAGGTGACAAACTCACAAATTTTAAAACGATTATCAGTTATAGTAAAAACTACTCAAATCACAAGAAAAATATTGCTTAAAAGAAAAAAGTTCTGCTTTGGAAAGTAATCCGAGAAAAAGTAAGCCAACACCGATAGTCCAACATTTCAAGTTTTCCCAAAAAAGTCAATTGCTACAATTTAAAGAAAAACAAGGTCCGGTCGGGACTTTAAATCTAGACCTTATATTCCGAAAGCACGCGCTTGACCTCTAGGCCAAGTGCGTTGGAAATTGCAAAATTATTTACAAATTTATGAGAAAAGTGGTACATGGAAAAAATATAGTTCCCGATTACAAACACACTTGCTCTGGCGAGTGAAATAATTACAGTGAGATAGAGGTTCAATAACAATCCATTTCTGTAAGTAATTTTTTGACACTGTTTTTGTGTTGAAATACGTAACAACTGCTTGACAAAAATAAGCAGTATTCGCTTTGAGTCCATCTAGAATAGTTGGCTGAAAAAAAATTGCCACTAAATTGGCCTAACTAAAAAACTAAGTTAATCGTCATTTATGCCACTCTAACTCACCAAGTGTGTTGATCAAGTCTCCAGCGGCATTCCATATACGTGCATATCCGTCGTAGGATCCAGTTCCCAGCAGACTTCCGTCGAAGTTCCAATCCAGCGAAGTGACGTCTTTGTTGCTAGGAACCTAATTCATAATCGCTATGATTGAAACTATAAACTTTTTTGTTTTCTGAAATACAGAAAAACACAGACGTGAAATATAGACACAGAGAAATACAGACGTGAAATACAGAAAAAATGAAGGATGCAGACTTTGATCTTCCAAAACTTATCATTTAAAGGTATCCATGATTTTTGTTTATTTTGAGCGCAACCACAAAGCTGTCGTTTAAAAATATTCAAAACAAATTTAAGGTACATTAAAAAACAATATCAAGAAAAGCTCTTTAAAATGCTTACCTCCTGTCCACCTTCGTTGATGCAATGCTGAAGTCTCTTATGACTCGGCTCTTGCTCCTCTACGTTCCAGATTCTAGCAGTCGAGTCTCCTGATCCAGACGCCAGAAGATCCCTCTTTGGATTCCAAGCACACGAGAACACCTCTGATTCATGGCCTTTCAGAATGGACACTCTGCCAGGCGGTATAACCACTGGGTCCTGTTGTGCCATGAATGGTGGGACCATAGCGTGGCTGGTCGTAGGCCCTGAAGTGTCCATGGCCTGTGATGTGTCTGATTTGGTAGGTGCATTTGATGAGTTGGATGAGCCCTCGATGGAGTTGGAATTAGGAGTAGCAGAGTTGTTGTCATTTTCAGGTTCAGATTTCGGCTTCAACTACATAACAGCATCAATTTATATTCAAAAATATGCAAAAAGTTATTGAATTCATGCATCAATACGTTTCTAAGATTCTTAAAGATATGCAAATAAACTTTGATGAAAAAATGACCTAATTACGTCACTTTCGTTATTTTTCCTATTTGCAGCAATATTTTTCCTATTTGCATTATTTCCATGAAAACGTAGTAAGCTTTTTTATGACTTTCTTCAAATGTGGTGCTACTTACTAGGGCGTAAAATACTGATTTACCATTCAATTTTGGCTGCTAAGGAACTAAGCTGGAGACCATATTTCGCGTTCATCAGCCATATTTAACGCATAGGGGCGATAGCCGTATAAAGCCGGTTTCTGGTTGCTCTTATTTCCCCAACTGACTTAAAACAATGAGCCATGCTTTTTGAAGACCAAAGATTCTTTTGCGAATATCTTTCGAAAACTAGATTTAGCGTTGGCTCTTTTCCCCCACATTTGAACTTCGTCATAATGAAATGAAATTTTGTACGGCGGAAAAAATCAACTATTATGAAGATATTTGTTATCATGCTTTATAAGCAAAAATCACGCATTAGGCTATAATACAGTTGTGATTTGAATTGAATTTATCAGGACAATACGAGTAAAACTTTAAAACTAAAATGCGTTTTTCTCAAATTGCGTTAATTTTAGACAAACGATGAAGACAAAATTTGCTTAGAATTTTTTTTAAAAATAATAATGTGCAATTATTTTGCAAAATTTAGGCCAAAATTCAAACCAAAAATCACGTTTAAACTACCGGTTCAATTGCTAACAATCAAATCCTGAATATATCAAAATGAGCCTTTCATCTAGCCCAACAAAAATTACCCAAGGAGAAGCTGCGCTTCGCAAACACTAGCAATAATACGACAAAAAACCAGCTGTATAAAGTTAAATAAAAAGATAGAAATAAGCTTCGAATTAGTAAAACTTTTCTACGTATGGGCTTCGAATCTGCGGCCTCAAGAATAAGAGCCTCACGCCCTGCCCTCTCGGCCACGAACGCTTAACAACCGGCAAACACTAGTCACAAATACAGCAGCTACATATGCTAATAAATCTTGGGCTACAAAAGAGGGTGATTTATTACAATAGGTGGCAGGTTTAATTTCGACTAATCTTAATCTGTACAAAAGCAAAACTGTTCCAAGTGGTAATCGAAACCATACCTCTGGTACTTTAGTCAAATGCGTTAGCCACTGCACTCTGCGAAAACTACAAGAATGGAAAACTTATCAACCAAATGAAGAATTCTTGATATTTAGTAGAATTATTAGATACAAATAAATAAACAGAAACCGGTAATTCTGGGTTATTATTTCAGTTGTCTTTACTTAATACGCTGACTGGTTGGTAAAGAGGCTGAAAGATCTTACGAAATTCCCATAGGCCCAAGTCCCAATCCCAGTGGGAACCAGTTTTCATGCTCAGTTGAGTTAAATCAGTTACATCTGCTACCTATCAGTAGTGGATTTAGGTCCCCCCCGGGATTCGACCCCTGCCGACCCAAAGGGTCCCCCTTTGTACTATTTTGAGATATCCATTTTTGGTGATGCACCCTAAAAATTTTCTAAAGGCGCCAATATATACTAGTATTGAAGGGGGAGCGCGCGCCGAAAAAACGCGATTTGGTCAAAACTTTCCAAAAAGTGCCTAAAAACGCCATTTTTGGCCTGTTTTTATTTCTTCAAAATTTTGCCTCCGGCGCAGAAAATTTGGCCAAAATAGGGGCAAAGCAGTGCTTTGGGAGATCTCGAAAAATCAATTTGGTCGACCTAAAAAAAAGGTCGACAGAAAATCCGCCCCCCCCCCTCGAGAAAATCCAAGATCCGCCCCTGCTGCCTATTGTAATACTTCATCCATAAGAGGCCCACAACGTTGATATAGTTTTGTCAGCAATTAAAGTGGTAGTTTGAGCGTGAATTTCGATTGACAAAAAATGCCAAAAACGATTGCTTTTGAGGTGAAATTGTTGGCCCTAATTTCGCTAGATAAATTTCGACGCATAAAACTAGCAATTTGAGGGTAAGTGGAAAAATCCCTAGCTTTTTAGTTTAACTTATTAACAGTCAGCGAGCTCTAGCGATACAACAGAATATTGTTCAAAAGATTATTAGAGAACATAGCTAGTGCACTCAAACTCCAACGGAACCAAATATTTTTCATTCCTGACAGGGTCGTCAATTTTTCTAGCAGTCCAATACCTAATTCATACGGACCATCTATGGTAGTATTAAATCCAAAATTGAACCTGTGCCTGCGGGTTGTTTGGATTCGGCTTGTTCTGGTGTGAATTCCTCGTCTGTTGTACAATGTCTGGCATCACTGCATCAATCAAAGAGAGACTGTCCGCTGCCAGTTGCACGTGGTCGTTAATTGATCCGTCCTCGTTTGTACTAATTTCTGCTTCCACGTACTGCATTCCCTTTTGAATAATACTTATCAGGGCACCTTAAATACACCCAAAACTTGTCTTTAGTTTGCTCAAACGCGGAAAGCATATTAACTTATTAAAACTACTACGTACCCCCATTCTGTAAAAATAAATTGAAAATTGTTCTTTAACTAACAGAGGAGCGAAACTACTGACATGATGAGTGAAAATGATTTGTTGTCGAAGAATATTGGAAAAATGTCAGTAGGTGAAGAAAATGTTTTCGTTCATAAATAGTTTTATACTCGGAAATAACCAATTGGTACAGCATGTATTTCAGTAGATATTCAGTGTATTCAAATATTTTTACCCAGTATTTAAATGCTTAACTGATAATCACTCTAGGGTTGCGATTCTACTTAAAAAATGAAATTCTAAATCCCTGTAATTTTCGAGATATCGCATTTTTTCAAAAATTTCGAATCTTCCAAAAAACTTAAATTTTTGAAAAAAACTCTGTTCTTAACGCATAATACCAGAATATCATTAAAATAAATGAGCTCGTCTAACCGCAATATTATACCCCTTATTTTTATTCCTTTCCAATTTTAATAATTCGTATTTTGAAGAAAAAAAAATTGAAAAATTCGATTTTTTTTCTTCTTTTTGTTTATCCATTATTTATTGAGGTTATTGCGACATCGTATAATATGATCGATAACAGCCTGGCCTGAGTGTATGCTACCGAGTTAAAGATTCAAAAGAACCGCTTTATAAAAAAAAATTTTTGTTTTTTTTCCTATTATGATGTTTTTTTTCTTCTAATATTAACTCTAATTTCTTTGAATAGAGGGTAGAACTTAAGTAGGAGCGCAATGCTCCTTTCGTCTATCCTTTTCATTTTCATGTACTGATTTGATTGGTTCGATATCAATTGTTTGTAACTAGTTGGAAATAAGTTGATGATTATTTCTACATGATTTTGGATAAATAAATTCTTCTTCTTTTTCTTCTACTACTAAGGTATGTCTGAGTGTAAATCCAATAAATTCAAAGTAATAACCGAGTATTTTCAGTCAAGTATTTAAGGATTGTTTTTACCACCATTTTGAAAGAAACCAGCTTTGGAACTCCTATGACACGGTTATGCGTCCTGACTCAATGAAAATTATATCTAATTAATGTCAGGAATGCAAACAAGTAGCCGGATTGCGAACACACCCAATTAAACGTTCATTAAACTTATACTAACTTTAAGCTGCAAGCATTGTGGGAAAACAAAATAGATGAGAAGCTACTTATTTCATTTCATCACTTAATAAACATCATAATGCGTGTAAAAAGTGAACGCACCAGGTGGTACTTGGCCCCCGTTGATATTAGTCTCTGACATGTGGGATTCAGTGCCAAATACGAAGGCAGTGTGATTGAATCCACTCTCCTGGAGGTACCTGTAGATCAGGTAGTTGATCTCATCACTGCCTATACTCATCTTCAGATGTCACCAGTCTAACGGCTCTAAGGGCAAGAAGTCACTCGACTATGGATGATTTAATTTCTGTCTATGAGAGGTCAGCCAACCAACTTCTCGAAGACCAAACAAGTTCACTGGATACACTATATTTATGGCACGTAATTATCAGATAAGTCAGTTTGGGACGTTTTGTTTCTTTTTCGTAGGGTTCGCTTTTCTTAGACCAAAGAAAGCGAACTTTGCCCTCCCAAAGAAATGAAGAAAGTGATAAACATGTGGCTTGATTGAAAGTCTGTGGCGCATATACTAATTTTATGCTACACGAATGTGTTATCTGCGATATGATATCATGCCAGTCATACTAGATAAATCTGAAATATAACACATTTTCCGCAAAAGTTTAAAACGATTATATTCACAGTTTTATGAGCAATATATTATACTTTTTATCATTATGAAAGTTAAATGTATCAAAATATTCATAAGTACAAAATATTATAGTTTTCAGCCACTTCATCAGTGCTAAAAGAACGATTTGATCAACTTTGACAAAGCCGGCATGAAGAAAGGGTATTTCACACTTTTAGGATCAAATTTTCTCTTATATTTGAACAACCTCTTTCGTTCTTCGTCCAGTTTAATTTGCAATTTAGAGTTTTTGGTTCGAATTAGAAACTGCAGCTCCAAATCTCTGAATTGAGAACGCATCCCGAAATTCGAAGAGCCAATCAGAGTCGAGGAACAATTGAACTGTTTAGGGTTTGATTCTGCCGGAATGTAAATCCACATTCCTTTCGCGTGGTATGTCCAGTTTTTGCGGAAGTACTCGAACACTTGATATTTATCTATAAGAAAATGGCAGTAACTTTGATGAAACTGGAAGGCAAATCATTCAATTTACAAGCTTTTATATGGAATAAAAAGACTTAATTGTATCAAACTTCATCACACAGGCAAAGCGGAGCTTCGCAAAACTTTCGATTTAGAAAGATTATTAACGATTGAAAAAGAACTTTATCTTCCTTCCTTTTTCCAATTTTATACACAGAGGCGAAGCTGAGCTTCGCTTCACTTGCGATACTAAGCGAGTGAAATTCAAATTCAGAAAAAGAGTAAAAACAACCACCAGCATTAAATAAGCTTCTAATTATTTACAAAGCGTTCAAAATCCAATATATATATACGTAGGTAGACGCCCGAAAAACCGAAAAAAAATGCCACAAAAATTGCCACACAGAGGAGAACCGAAAAATGTCCACAAAATTTGTCACACAGAAAATTGTCACACGGCATTGCAAGATAGTGAAGATAAAATGAAATGTAAATCACGAAATCGAAAACAAAATTTAGATAACGAAAATTTTTTCAGAAACACAGTCGAAAAACAATATCATCTGTGTTTAAAAAGCTGTTAGTAATTACCGAGCGACCACACAGCCGACAAGTGCGTAGGCTACCTGATTTTTTTCAAAAAAAAACATCAATCAATTTTTTTAATTTCAAAGCGACACAAAACAAGGTACTTAAGCAGATAATACATAAGAAGAAACAAACCATTAGGCCGACTTAAGCTTTGAAGCGAAATTAAACCAAGGAAAATATAAGTCAAGGCTAATATCTTTACAAATTACAGGAGTAAATCAGAAAACTTGCATCTACGAAAAAAGTTCCCCGATGTGGCAAGTAAGCCGACAACATAAGCAGACACATGAAAGTCCGAGTATTCAATTATTCCCGGAAAGAAATTTCAATTTCATACATACTGAAACAATAAGTCCGGTCGGGACTCGAGCACCAAACTTTGGGGTACAAAGGCAACCAAATTACCTCTAGGCCAAAGGGAAAGGAGTCTCACAGTTGCTAAAGTTCACTAAAAACTGAAGATTCCAGACCTTGTCAAAAGCAAAAGAAAATCACGTAACGTGGCAGCTAAGCCGACAAAAATAAGGAGAAAAACGACAGTCAGATAATAAAAATTTTCTCGGATATGCTGAAAAAAAGTTCGACCGGTACTCAAATTCCCAACTATAGGGTGCAAGGTGACAGCGTTACCCCTGAACCAAGTGGGATAAAGACTGCAGAGAAAATGTTTACGGGAAATAGTTTAATTCTAGATTACAAAAAAATTACATAATGCAAGACTTCAACTAAAGCAAACTAAAAGCAATGACCATAAATCATCAACGAGTATGATATGAAAGAGAAATAGATGATTTGAAAAAACACGTCAATTAGTTGGACTCATCTTAACTTTATGATTTTTTGATCTTAACTAATGATTTTTTCTCTATGTCCAACTCGCAACATTTCTGGTTGTGTCTCTCGAATTATCGACAGTAAGTCATAGTAAAAGAGCACAGCAAAACTAAAAACTGACGTTTCTCGTCAAAATTTTTAAAATTAGTGTCATTTTTTTTGTGTGGTGCGACAAAAAAATATCAACGAAAAAACAGAAATTAGGCATTATCGAAACTCATAGTCAAATAAGCCAATTGGAAAACAATTTTTATAGAGAAATTACTTGAAAAATGAAAAAAAATGTTAAAATTTGAAAAATTTATTCTATTTTCTTGCAGATATTTTGTTGATTTTTTGAAGTTTCTGATTCCCAAATGGCTCAAAAACCTCTAGAAACTAACTTTAAATTAAGTTTGAGTAAGTTATTGTAAGCCTACACGCTCGTCTTATTAGCTCGAAATTAGACCAAATATCGACTAATTTCAACGGGTTTTTCTGGACACTGAAAATTTTTTTTAACGTCATTCGAATTACGAATGAAAGGGCTGTAATATGAAATAAAACTCGACCCAATTTGATTTATTTGTGGTACTTAAATTTGCGGGGAAAACAAAAAAAAACAACAAACACAGGGGCGAATCTGAGCTTTGCGCCATTTGCGATACAAATTTGATTAAAATCAAAGAAAAAAGCTTGATTAAAAAAATGTTTTTGTCAATAAAAAATGTCAGTAAAAAAGAGGTATCAAGCAATTATGTCAACTCTACGACAGATGCGCCGGATGGCTGATTGAATTTAGCCAGAGGTGAAGATGAGCTTCGCACCAATTGCGATACAAATATGAATGTTATGAAAATAAAACTAAAAAAAAAGAAACTAAAAAAAATCGTTTTTGTCAATAAAGCCCGAAACTGCAAAAATCCGAAAGTAATCGGACCATTAGAAACTCTACGAAGAGCTTTGGGAATGCTATAAAAAAGCCAAGTTTTGAAAAAAGTTTTTTCTGTGGAACTAAGCCGACAAAAGTAAGCAGACAGACAATAACCTAAATAAATCAAAGATTTCTATTTATAAGAAAAACAAGTCTGAACTGGAATCGAACTCCTGGGCTTTGTCGTCTCAAGCATGGGGGTTGCAGCAACTTGGAATAAAGCTGAACCATCGAGCTACAGGATCTAGGCCGACAAAATAATTAGGTGGATGATAATCCGAAAAAGCACAAAAACTCTTGTTTGCAAAAACAGGCCCGGCCGGATTCGAACCTCATCTAAATCAGTTGTTTTACATCTACACCAGAGGTGCCGAATAGTGGACTGAATTTGAAGTTTGAGTAAAATATTGTAAGCCTACACGCTCATCTTATTAGCTCGAAATTAGACCAAATATCGACTATTTTCAACGGGTTTTTCTGTACACTGAGAAAATTTTTTAACGTCATTCGAATTACGAATGAAAGGGCTGTAATATGATATAAAACTCGACCCAATTTGATGATTATTTGTGGTACTTAAATTTGCGTGGAAAACAAAAAAAAAACAACAAACACAGGGGCGAATCTGAGCTTTGCGCCATTTGCGATACAAATTTGATTAAAATCAAAGAAAAAAGCTTGGTTAAAAAAAATCGTTTTTGTCAATAAAAAATGTCAGTAAAAAAGAGGTATCAAGCAATTATGTCAACTCTACGACAGATGCGCCGGATGGCTGATTGAATTTAGCCAGAGGTGAAGATGAGCTTCGCACCAATTGCGATACAAATATGAATGTTATGAAAATAAAACTATAAAAAAAAGAAACTAAAAAAATCGTTTTTGTCAAAAAAGCCCGAAACTGCAAAAATCCGAAAGTAATCGGACCATTAGAAACTCTACAAAGAGCTTTGGGAATGCTATAAAGAAGCCAAGTTTTGAAAAAAGTTTTTCCTGTGGAACTAAGCCGACAAAAGTAAGCAGACAGACAATAACCTAAATAAATCAAAGATTTCTATTTATAAGAAAAACAAGTCTGAACTGGAATCGAACTCCCGGGCTTTGTCGTCTCAAGCATGGGGGTTGCAGCAACTTGGAATAAAGCTGAACCATCGAGCTACAGGATCTAGGCCGACAAAATAATTAGGTGGATGATAATCCGAAAAAGCACAAAAACTCTTGTTTGCAAAAACAAGCTCGGCCGGATTCGAACCTCATCTATATCAGTTGTTTTACATCTACACCAGAGGTGCCGAATAGTGGACTGATTTTGAAGTTTGAGTAAAATATTGTAAGCCTACACGCTCATCTTATTAGCTCAATTTTTTGAAGTTTCTGATTCCCAAATGGCTCAAAAACCTCTAGAAACTAACTTTAAATTAAGTTTGAGTAAGTTATTGTAAGCCTACACGCTCATCTTATTAGCTCGAAATTAGACCAAATATCGACTATTTTCAACGGGTTTTTCTGGACACTGAGAAAATTTTTTATCGTCATTCGAATTGCGAATGAAAGGGCTGTAATATGATATAAAACTCGACCCAATTTGATGATTATTTGTGGTACTTAAATTTGCGTGGAAAACAAAAAAAAACAACAAACACAGGGGCGAATCTGAGCTTTGCGCCACTTGCGATATAAATTTGATTAAAATCAAAGAAAAAAACTTGATTAAAAAAAATCGATTTTGTCAATAAAAAATGTCAGTAAAAAAGAGGTATCAAGCAATTATGTCACCTCTACGACAGATGCGCCGGATGGCTGATTGAATTTAGCCAGAGGTGAAGATGAGCTTCGCACCAATTGCGATACAAATATTAATGTTATGAAAATAAAACTAAAAAAAAAGAAACTAAAAAAAATCGTTTTTGTCAATAAAGCCCGAAACTGCAAAAGTCCGAAAGTAATCGGACCATTAGAAACTCTACAAAGAGCTTTGGGAATGCTATAAAGAAGCCAAGTTTTGAAAAAGGTTTTTTCTGTGGAACTAAGCCGACAAAAGTAAGCAGACAGACAATAACCTAAATAAATCAAAGATTTCTATTTATAAGAAAAACAAGTCTGAACTGGAATCGAACTCCCGGGCTTTGTCGTCTCAAGCATGGGGTTTGCAGCAACTTGGAATAAAGCTGAACCATCGAGCTACAGGATCTAGGCCGACAAAATAATTAGGTGGATGATAATCCGAAAAAGCACAAAAACTCTTGTTTGCAAAAACAGGCCCGGCCGGATTCGAACCTCATCTAAATCAGTTGTTTTACATCTACACCAGAGGTGCCGAATAGTGGACTGAATTTGAATTTATAATTACCAAGCGGTAACAATGCCGAAAAAACCTGAGCAGAAACCCTTCATGCCAAAAAGAAACTCAGAAAAATTCTAAACTAACAAAAAATTTTTGTCCATTTTCTCCTCAGAGCACAATTAAGCACACGAACTTTTTACGATCCCCGAACGACGCAATAAGAGGCCACTAGTTCGATGTAAATTAGGCAGAAACTCAAAAAACCGATAATAAAAAAGACATTTTGACAAATCGAGTTGGTAACGTTATGACCAGTATTAAAAACAAATCTCGATTCGGCGGGATTTTTGAATTGCTAAAACACTTAAACTACCAGTAGTTAAAATTGTTTACAGCAAAAAAAACTATTCCTAGATCTGGAAACTAAGCCGATAAAACATAAGCAGACAAATAATAGGCCGAATTTTTTTGAACCGGAATATTTACCGTTTGAAAAAAAACAGGTCCTAGTCAGATTCGAACCCGAGACTTTTGCCGTCCCATCCATATTCGGTACCTCCAGGCTAAACGTGCAGGAGACACTAAAAATTTGAATTCATTATGAACCAAGGTACTACGAGTCCTTTACAGGTCCGATGAGTCTTGTAGACAAGGTTGTTTACGGGAAAAAAGTCTAGTACCTGATTGCAATACCCTTGCTTATCAAGGGTAAACATTAGCCGAATAAAAAGTTCCTCCATATTTTTCAAAAAGGTCACAACTATAAGATGAGGCATTTAAGCAAAATACCACAATGGTGAATTTATCGCAAAACATCAACGCAACTTCAACAAAAAGGAAAACTGAAATACAAAAATCAACTCAAGCCTTTTATGAGAAAAAATTCGAAGCATAAAAAATTGTTCATACAAAAAGATCAGCACCAATTAGACTAAACATCAAGCCTTACAAAACACAATATATGAAGGCGAAATTTAAATAAGAGAGCCAATAATCGATAACATTAGATTATTGGCTCTCTTATTTCAATATTGCCTCTATGTATTGTTTTTGCAAGGCTTGATGTTCAGTCTAATTGGTGCTGATCTTTTTTTATGAACTTTTGTTTTTCTTACCTTTTTTACTATTTCAAATTCTTACCTTTATTGGTGTTTCCACGCAACTGATTAACGAATTTCCTTAGAATGCATTCATACATGTCTGCCACATACCCAGCAGCACCCGATGCATTTCTGAACCCATTGCACTCCCGTGAGCATGCCAATATATGCACGCTCTGTGCACGGCAGTTCAAAATTCCACGCAAGAGACTTTCAGATAGGTTGAAATATCCAGAGGCAAAATACAATTTGTCATTTTGCGAAATGCTCCTAATAAATTGTTGCATTCGTTCTGAGTATGTATGAATATTTTGCTCGGGCGCCTGCAAATATGCTTCAATTGTCGTATCAGATTTGACGTTTGCTTCGTTTTCTGATGAGTTCGAATTAGTATTTTCAGTCACCTATAATCAGATATCTTTCTAATACATACTTATTTTTTGGCTCTTAAATTGAACATCGTGTTAGATTTACCTCTTACTTTGCAAGTTGACTCGAATTCGAAATCTTTCAGAACTTTTCCACTTTCAATTCGGAAGTTTTTCGGTTGTTTCCATGGTAACGGAAGTCTACTAGGATACGTCGTTTTTCCATCTGGTTTCAATCGAAAACAGAATTCGCCGACTTTCTTCATCAAACTTTGTAAATAATCGCAAAACTTTCTGTCGTGTATGACAATGTAACGGTCTTGACGGTTCGTAAAATACTCTTCACTTAAATTAGCTCCTGATAAAATGCAAATATCATCAAGAATATACGTTTTAATGTGAAAAACACCAAATATTTCATCCCACCTTTTGGGAGCTAGCACTTTTTTATGATAATTCAGGTATGACGTATGGTATAAATTGCAGTTCACTTTTTCCAAGTCCAAAAACTTCGACAGTGTTCGTGAAGTTTGATTAACACGCATTGATCTATTGAAGTCGAAAATGAGATCCACCTGTAATGATGGAACTTCTCTTAGTCTCTGACCAATTCGTTTGACTAATGCTTCTCCCTTGCTTCCAGTTCCGATGTACAGAGACGAAAGGACTATTCTTTTCTGAGCTTGGTTGACATTCGAAATCAAAGTTTCATAAAACTCTTCTGGACTTGACAATATTTCAATGTTGTCACCTTCTAAATTGAAGAGTGCTTTTATGGAAGGCATTTTTGCACAATTTTTTCATGAGACAAATCTAACTAAAACATTAATCTGAAAAGTTTTAGAATTGACATAGCCAACTGACAGTTGGAAAAGAGTAATGAAAGCAAGGAAACTGAAAAAAAAAACACTAGTGTTTTCAAAATCCTTCAACTTATTCGAAGAAAAATAGATGGCCTTAAATCTCTTTGAATTTGTAGAACAATTTATGATTGACACTTTTTTGATAAAATTAACCCAATTTGAGAAAACTGGATCAATAGGTCACTTTTATTTTGCTGGGAAATCTGATTATTAATTTCTATTTTCGTTATTAGCAGTCGATCACGTTTTTGTGTCCTTTACATTTTTGCTGTTCGATAGTGGAGTTTGCCTTCCTTTTAACAAATAAAATGAAATAATCTTAAAAAGAAATCAAAAGTCAAACCGCGAAAAATCAAAATTGAGCGTGATCAAATCTTAAGACATTTTCCTAGAAAAAAAATTATAATCACCAAGATCTATATAACTACGTTCATTACTTTGAAAAAGTTTCAAATTTAAAACAAAGCCAACAGACAGTTGGAAAAGTGCGAAAGAACTCAAAAAAGCAGAAAAAGGAAGCAGAACTAATTTTTAAAAAAAATTCAAGATTTCTCAATTTTTGAACTTCAAAAGTATTTGAATAATATCAATTTTTCGAAGTACAACAATTCAGAAATAAAGAAAAATTAAAAAAAAATCAGTTCTGTCTCCTTGATCACCTTAGAGTCCTTTCAACTTCGAGAGTCGTTTATTATTGGCATTATTTTGATAAGAGCTAACCCAATTTGAGAAAACTGGTTAACAATAGTTAGCTAAATTCATTGCTGCCAATTCAATTTTCTATTTTCTTGTCACCTATTTTCAAATCTAGGCATAAAGTTTTCCCAAATTGATTATACTTCGTGAGAAACATGTTTTTTTTATTTTAAAGTGAGTTTCGAGCAATCAGCAAGTACATCTATTGTCCGCTGATGGCTCCTCGTGTATTGCAGAACGCGTTCAACGAACGTGTGTAACGAATTCAAACATAGAGCTCGAAGGTAGAAAACATTACAAAGTATACACCCATGTCTAATTAAATCAAAATGATTGACGCAAATAAACAATCAATCAACACGCCGTGACCTTCGATATTCGAGTTGTAGTGGTGAGAGTTTTTCTGACACATCAAGTGGCTAAGCCGGCTTTTTAATTAGCCAAAACGAGAAAAGCGGGCCTAAATTTTTAAATCAAAATTTTATCATAACAGAGGCAAAGATCAGTCAGTACACTACAGATTTGATTAGAACGAATTGCATCATATCCTTTCATTTCCAATTTCACAAGGATAGTCGGTTGCTGTGCAAGTAGCACAGAATGTTAAAACCACTTCATAAAAACTACAAAAAAAGTGTTTTTTTTTTCTTGTTCAATGTATATTCGTATTTCTCCGGGTTGAGATGAGAGAACCAAAAACGCGTAGCAAGATAGTGCATTAGGCATAAACGACAATAGTTGTCCTAAATTTATTTACATACAAAAAATGAAGTAAAAAATTACTGGAACTTTTTCTTATTTTTTTGTAATAATTTTTAGAAATTTTTTTTGGCCAAAAGGGTACTCGCTCGAAATAAGACTTAAACTCAAACAAGTTTTTCTCAACACTTGGAAAACGTTTTGAAAATCTTTTAATCTCGTTCAATCAACGATTGAAAGTTCTTTAATATGATATATCACTCGACCTTTCCCGATGACTATTTCTGGTACCTGATTTTGCGTGGAAAATGAAAAAAATCTTCGATTGCGCTGGGTTTCAACGGGCATAAAAGAGATGCTTCAATTGAACTAGCGTTTAACGCACCTCCGGTGCTTCGAAAACCGCATATATTGGAAACAACATCTGCAAACTTTTAGTGTACTCTGACTGCACCCAATTACAGGGTTGGTAATTTCGAACTTTTTCCATTTTAAAAGCGTCATCTCGAAAAGTTAATGTGCCTCTGCAGAAATTTGGAGGCCAGATTTGCAACCACTGAGAGTCCCTGAGAGCACCCTACTATAGGGTTAGGAATTTAAAATTTTGTGAATTTTTTTAAACCTAAGTTTCCCAAAAAAAATTGAGAAAAAACGTCTTATCTCGGAAACTAAAAGCATTTGAACAGTCGCCTTTAGCAGTCGCATGTGGCAAGATTTGCAACTCTTTAGAGTACCCTGACAGCACCGAACTATAGCGTTGGGAATTTCAAATTTAGAAAAATATTTAATTTTAACTTTCTGAAAATTTTGAAAAAAAATCACAAACGTCACATCTCAAAAACTACAAAGAATTGAGCAGTCATAATTGGAGGCAAGATTCGCAATCCTCGAGAGTACTCTGACAGGACCTAACTACAGGGTTGGGAATTTCAGATCTTTAAGAATTATAATAATTTAAGTTTTCTGAAAATTTTTGAAAAAATCACAAAAAACGTCATATCTCGAAAACTACAAGGATTTGAACAGTCATATAAGGAGGCAGGGTTTGTAATCCCTTAGACTACTCTGACAGTACTCAACTACAGGGTTGGGAACTTCAAGTTTTGAAAAATTATTTTGAAATTTCTGAAAATTTTCGAAAAAATCTCAAAAATTGTCTTATCTCATTAACTAAAATGATTCGGGCATTCAAAATTGGAGGCCAAATTCGCAACCTCTAATTCGATACTGGGCTGCTTAATTTAAACTCAGTAAAATAACCACTAAAATCAAATTGGAAAATCGAAAAAAAATTCTAAACCATTGCAATATACGATATAGCTTAAACATGCAAAAATAATACGTTGAAAAAGCTTAAACATGGCGAGATAGTGAAGCCCGCATTTAAATATATAATAGATTTTTAAATAATAAAATATTTTTAACTGCTCGAACGACTACACTATGGAATTATATATCAATAATACGAGAGGCTTATCTTCAATTCACAACGAGTAAACTCTATTATGATATACATAAGTGCATATAGTTTACGCTAGTTGACACAGAGGCGAAGCTGGGCTTAGCAAACACTACTGAGAACACGACAAAAAGCAGCTCTTTAAAGTACAATAAAAAGTAGCAAAAACCCAACTTGAGCGTTAAAAAAATAGCCAACAGACATTAATATGCCAGAAATTAAAATTACTGCGTAAAAAATGTACAGCGACAAGCTTTATATATTTTTCATAAAAATCATAATCTTACAAAAGTAGGAACAATCTAGCCATTCTTTTTTGGTTACTATTCCTAAAAGCTAACTTGAAAACGCAAACCAGGAGCATGAAATACTTGTAAGAAGGAAGAACAACGGATGAATTTGAGCCGTATAACTACCATCAATAAAAAAAATTTCAACTATTGCAATCAGAAATGATTCAAAATGCAGAAAATTTCAAAGAAGGCGCTATTTATTGCTTAATTTTCAATGCAGGAAAACTCTAAAAACAAAACCATTAAGCTTCGAAAATTTACAATAAGAATCTCAATTTGTTATTAGACATTTTAGCTTAACTTCGTCCACATTAGGAATATATAAGATTTTCAGTCATACTAAAAAGCTCAAGTTATAGGAAAAATCCGAAACTAAGCTGACAAAAAACTTTTCGTTTACATAAAAAAAAAACAGATCCTGGCCGAATTAAAACCACGTACGTTCGTCTCCACTGACATATTCGTTTAACTATGTGGACTGATTTTATATGAACTGTGTCAAATGATTTGTGTTAAATAATTGTTAAACTATAAAAAACCAACAATCCAAATTGACGACGATTGCATATTCCAGGCGTCAATAAGACTTACTAAAAAGCATGCTATAAAGCCAATTCGTAACGAAAAACGAGAAAGAACCTTTATAGAATCGTCAAAAGCTAGAACTCCTTGCCAGGAGTTTTTTTTTGTAATTTTCGCTATTTTCTATGCGTATAGTAAGCTTAGAAGGAAACAAGGACTTAATTAACGCATAATAGAACCTTCAACACTTTTGCTACCCTAATCAGGGCGGATCTAGGATTTTTTCGAGAAGGGGGCTTTCAGAACATTTTTGAAAACCTCGTCTAACTTTTTTTTAAGGTTGACTAAATCGATTTTCCGAGCTCTCCCAAAGCACTAAAAAGACCGCTTTGGCCAATTTTTTGAAAACAGGCCAAAAAGGGCGTTTTTCGGCGCTCGCGTCCCCCTCAAAATAAAAAAATATTGGCGCCTTTAGAAAAAAAATTAGGTTCCGTCCGCCAAAAATGGATATCTCAAAATAGTACAACCGGGGACCCTTTGGTCGGCAGGGGGTCGAATCCTTGAATCGCCCCTTTAATCACCTACTGATCTTAATATACCTAGAAATGAATCTTCGTTCTACAAAAGTAAAATTTAAACTGGGACCAAGAACCCCTACTGAATTTTTAATATCAGTGTCTACACACTACCTTCTTCATTGACACTTAAAAGTTGCCAGATCTACGTAGAATTGCATTTTAAAAAATTGAGCCGGAAGCAAATACTCACGAGTCATAGAAAATTTGGGACAGAGGTGCAGGTGCACTTCGAGAGCGAGCAAAAAATATCAAAATGGACCTCATAATTACGAAAAAAACCTGGATAGAAAAAATCATCAAAAATTGTGATGACTAAGGTAACTCGAACAGCCTTCCCAAAGATTAACAAACACACGCCTTGTTTAAAATACCAACTGAGATACTTGAACAACAAAAAAACTTGAAATAAATCAAAAGTCAAACCAAAGGCATCAAATTCCAATGAAAACGCATTTCTCTGAGATTTTTGAGCTAGTAAATAAATCATGGCAAAGAAAAGCATTATCAAAAACATTCTACTAGCTAATGGATAAATATATTTGAATTCATATGAAAAAAAAAGCACCAGTGAGTACTTTCACAAGTTGGTTAAGGGTTCGCCATAATAGGCTGCGCTTTGACTAGCTGTATTTCCTTGAGACACATGGCTGTTTTGTACCGCAGCAATTGCAGGGAATCGTTGTCCAGCTGAAACGACAGACGATGATACGAAGAAAACAAAGACATGACAGTTGGAAAAAAAGTAACATATAGGCGAAGCGGAGCTTCGCATCCTTTGCGATACCACAAAAATAGCATTTCAAGCTAGCAGACACGAAAGAAAAGGAGAGCCACAAAGTCAAAAAAAAACAGAAACCTTTTCGAAGAAACCACAATTAAAAAAAAAAACTTGAAAATGTTGTCCGGAATGATGCTCTACTTGCGGAAATACGTCTAGAAACACATTCGACGGCGTTTAATGAAAGTTCAAAAACAATTATCAAGCTATAAACTTTGTACTAAAAACTATTCTAAGATTTTTTAACGTTTAAAGCAACCCATCTTTAAAAAAATTTTAAGGTCCGTCAGCCAAAAAAAAGTGTCTAAAAAGTAACTAAAGGGGAACCCTTTGGGTGGTAAAGACAGAAAGTCGAATTAATCCTTCAGAAATCTTCCTTCCTAAATCCTCTACTGTGAACCAGGGACGAAATTTCGTTCAGAGAGTTACAGATGAACCTGAGGAAACGGTACAAGATTCAATTGGCTCTAAATTAAACTACCTCAACTTGCCGCACAGATCCATCTGACAGTTCCATTGATAGAGTCACTCTAGGCTGCAATACTTTCTTCATTCGGCTGAAACAGCAAAAAATGAGGAAAACATCAAATCAATAATGCCACAGAATTTATCGGGAACTTTATGAGAAGTGCCTAGTTTAAGCACAACTTTGCATCAGTTAGACACCTCCGAAAACATGCAAGCATTAAACTTAGCCAACAGACACTTGGAAAAGTGTCAATGAACGCAAGGAAACCAGATAAATAAGTTTAAGCTTCAACTTCAATTTCAAATAACAAAATGGATGGCATTGAAGAAACACATTCTGAATTTCAAAGTAAATTCTGAATGAGACAGGCGAAGCGGAGCTTTGCGTCACCTCCGATACAACACAACCTAAGCGTAGCATTGCAAGCAAGTAGATAGATATTTAGACGGTAACAATTAGTTCGAAAAAAAAATTGCTAAAAATGTGAGAAACTTTTTGAAAAAATGGAAAGCTCAATTTCAGAAATACAAAAAACACAAACAGTAGCATTAAATTTACTTTTTTAATTTTAAATTAACTTTAGTCGTTGAGCAGCCACTTAGCCGACGCTAAGTTTGAAGACGCCCAGTGAGACGAAAACAAAAAACGCCATGCGAAATTGTTTTTATAACATGTTGATTAAGTTTTACAACTTCTACACCCGACCGACCTGAACTATTTTTTTAAATAGTAACCAACTTTTCCCCTTCGAACCACTAATCCAATAAAACATAGGCCGAAACTAATAAGGCCGAACAAAGCTTTTACGCGAAAAAAAAAACATAGCCGACAGACAATTAGAAAAGAGTCAACGAAACAGCAAAAAAAAACATTTGTTTTCTGAAAAACGTCAGTACTCGAATTTCAAAGAGAATTTCAAGAACAATTTGTATTGACACTTCTTGGAATTAAAATCCAATTTCGAAAATTGGAGTCGTTTATTTTTTTTCGCGCCATTTCAGCTTTTGGAATGTTTCTTCTTTTTAGCAAATGAAATTGAATTAATCAAAGAAATCAAGTCAAACTGCAAAAGATTGAATTTGATGAGATCAAAATTTAGAGTTTTCCTGACAAAAAAAAAACGAAAAAAAAATCAAGACGACCTTTATAAATGTCTTCACTATTTTCTTTGATTTTTAAACACTGAGTATTCGAAGTCTCTAAATAATTGAAGTAGCCGGGAAAAACTATGAACAGGAAAAACAAAACCGTTTCAAATTTTCGAACAAATTTCATCGTATTAAAGCTAAATGCAAATTTTAGAAAACATCCAGAACTGTCACTGTTTAGATAATCTTAACCCAATTGTCATAACAAGATCAAAATTTATTTAATAATTCCACTAGTAACTTTCAAAGTTGATTCCGCTTTCTCAAATGAATCGTGGCGGCATTTCATTTCATTTTGATAAAGTAGAATTGTCACAAGGTTTTCGCTGTAATAACCAAAAACCTAGAGAAGCAATCGAAAACTGTGCTAACCATTCCTTATCAACAACTGAAAATTCACATCTTTTTAACGCATAATAATCCTAACCACCACACGTCGCCGGTACTCGTTGCATTTTGAACTCGAGAAATGTTTGATGTGGTTTGGTGTTCATTATTTTTCTAGCCAATTGTTTATGTACAAAAACTATATTTGCCAATTGTTTATGCACAAAAACCTTATTTACTTGTTGGACAGAATGATGTCGATTCTGAATTTGACGTCTGCTAGTCTCTTTACACAGGGACCATTAGCCACAACTGCAGATGATAACTCCTCCCTTTTCGAAACAAACAGCAGTTGAACCAGATCTTCAATCAGAGCATTCGGTAGGTTAAGTGAGGTCAAATCCTTGATCAAATGTTCCTGGCGGTAGAGTTGGACTGAGAAAGCGATAGTCTGTTGACAGATATCTAGCAGTCCCAGAAACACAGCTTGTTCGCTCTCATTCTCAATCACCTCCAGCTGCTCGTCCGTCACATCGTCCGACTTTATAGCTGTCGTTACAACTGTAAATACAAACACAATTTTGTTGCGACAAGATTTCAGCCTGAAAGTAATGAAAAAGTAGCCAACATAGTTGAAAGTATTGATGTAGTTAGATACCGTAAGCAAAGAAATTTTTAAAATTTGCCTTCGATTTAGCGGAATTGCACAACAATCAGCAGGTACAAGGTATCAGATAAAAAAATATCATGTGGAGTACAGAGCTTAGCAGAAATAATCGAAACGTATCTCCCCTCTTGAGTAGTAGTCGCCAAACAGCCGAGTTGTATTACCGAGCAGCAGGATCACGGAGAGCAGCTGCAGCGAGTTAAAGGCAGCTAACCGGCAATATCGAAAAAGACCATCGAGGCGACACGCTTACTGTTTTTCAAGGCTGTTTGCAACCACCCGCCTTTTTGACCCCCGGTCCCACTCAATGCAGAACCATACGTGGGGAGGGTGGGTGTCATCCATTTCGCAGTATCCGGTACCATTTTGTGGCGGCGGATGATACTGGCCCCCCTCAAACCGTGACCGAAGTGAGATTCGAACGCGGAACCCTCGTGCTGATAGACGCGTGCCTTACCCAACTCAGCCACGGCAGCTCCCTCCTTAAGCTTCAACAGATTGAGACAAGACTGAGTCGCATCTGACTCGTGTTTGCAGAACTTTCGCTAATCTTACACATCCAGGGCAGGACAGCTTATTACGGTTAAGTCTGGAGGGGCGAGACCAGCAAGGCAAGTAGTAGTGATGCTTACATTCTTTGTTTGGAACTGGGAAAGAGTGTCTTTCCTGGCAATATTGAAAATGGCGTCTCTGCTCCAACAATAGCTGGATATCTACTTCTTCTTTTGATCACTTAGGGCTCAGGAACTCTGAATTACGGAGTCGTATCGCAAGACAAAAGTTCAGACAAATCCTGACTTCAGGGGTGAGGGGAGAAGTCCGAAAAATATGATACAAATCGAGGCATTTTCTACCGAATAATTAGATAAAAAGATAAAATAAATCGAAAAAATTCTGAACATAAGCTAAAATTGGAGTTGGTAAGTATACACACAAGATGAAAAACGAAAATCGACTAAAACGGGCATTTGAAATATGCTCAAAATTTAACTGTTGGTACACGAAACCAGATTTAGAGATGACCAACAATTTCAGTCATCCTGTGAAAAAATTCATTTACGTGGAAAAAGTCCAGTGCCCGGTTGCAATGCACTTGTTTATCGCAAGAGGTAAACAAACGGCTCAGAAAGGCAACAGGTGAGAGAAGAGGTAAAGGGGAAACAACCTACACCTAGAGACGTGAAGGGATCACTACAGACGCTGCCACTTCGAGACTGCAGTAGCGGTGATGGACTCAGTTGTCTGCGAATAGGTTGTTTACGATGATATCCGGATGCGATTTGAAAAATACTCCTTCGGTGAAAAGAAAGCCGGTTGCTCAGCAATTAGAACAGAAGGTACAAAAAACTTCAATTCTTTTCTTTCCGGGATTTTTTGCGGGGGGTATGACTTTTAGCTGACGTACTTAACAAGCGAAGACGCGCAAAAAAGCCAGTGAGCTCTAAATAAGTGTGAAAATTGAAACTTCCGAATCCGAATCACAACACGATTAACACGCTTTCAAAATCATCTTCCCAGGTTTTCATCTGATCGCACAACCGCATCATTTCTTTTTATCCCCGTAGTCTCACAGCATGATTCAGTAGCATCTTCACTTCAGCTCTGATCCTATAGCAGGAATCGTGGAGACTCAAGCTTACGTTCTTTGTTAAATCTTCCTCCAAAACTGTTTCCCGCGCTTTCGTGATGTCTGTTGACTCATTTCCTGCTCTTTTCCACGCGGTTGTCACAAAAATCCGATGTGTGAACAGTGTTCTTTTAAAACATTTTAGCCCGACTTCTGCTAGAAAATGTTGATACTACTTCAGATGCATCTTCATGTGATTCTTCGCAAGCGTATGTAATCAAGTAATGAGCGTTGCTCGAAACCATGGAAAGATCGGATGCAACTCCAGATGCGTTTCACCTCCACAAGTCTTCGAATTTCAAGAACCACTCATAGTCACTTGATTAAAATATCCAGATTTGAGAAAGTTGGATCAATGTGTAATTTTTATTCTGCTGGAAAATGTGAAAACTCAAATCCATTTTCGAACCTGGAAGTCATTTACGTTTCTCACAACCTTAATATTTTTGTTGTTTACAAGTGACTTCTGCCTTCCTTTTAAAATATAAAACGAACTGAACTTTAAACACAGATGCGAGGCGGAGTTTCGCGCCACTTGCGATAAAATACAATTATGAAAACATAAGTCGACAAAAAAGACATTGAAAAAAAACTAGGTGATCCAAAATGTTTGTATGTCTCAATAAAAGACAACTAGGGGCCCAGCTAAAGCCGGAGCTAAGTGTTTGATATCTAATTTATGATACTGATCCGCGACAACTGCGTTATTTGAAAAATGGAATTTGCCCGAAACCTTAGTTGTTTCTCAACTAAAATAAATTGATATTGAACATTTTTAAGATATTAGAAAAAAAATTTTGGAGATATTGGAATTTTTTCAAAGACATAAAGTTTATCTAAAAAAATTTAAAGAGTTTACAATAAAATTCGCAACCGGTTCTTTCGATTGAACTTTTCATCACAAATTCGATAGGGTAGTTTTTGAGCAATTCAAAAAATTTCTATAAACGGCCAAAAGTTCGAAAGGTTGACTTTCCGAAAACCATGAAAATTTTCTGCAAAAATCAGGTCTTGGCCGCTAAAGCAGAGAAATTTCCCAAAACACGGTTTTTCGATTGAACCAAAGGCTCAAAAAATGAGCAAGTCAGAACATTAACTTCGAATGCGTAACGGACAAGAAGCGACCGCTTACTCCGCTGCACTTACGTTAGGAATAGTGTTATTTTGCCTGCATATATGTGTTTTGTCGCTTATGTAGACTATTCTGTCTTTGATTTTGATAGTTTTCTTGACCAACTTATGAGATAATTGTCTTAGTTTGGGAAGCTTGACATCAGACTGAGTGTCTGTCAATCAATAGCGCATCAGTTTAACACACAGGCGAAGCTGAGCTTCGCACCACTAACGATACAAATGAAGAAAATTGACAAAGAAAAATCAAAAACCAAAAAAACTAAATCTATCAAAATGAATAAAGCTAGTGATGGAACGAAAACGTAGAAAGTAAATGTAACGTGATGAAAAAGTAACGCAAGTAAATGTTGTTCCCAGCGGTAAAAAAAAAGCTGAAAATACCTGGTCAGGAAACCTTTTTGCCGAAAAAAAATCAAAACTTAAGACTTGTGAAAAGCTAAAAAAAACTACCCCTCACCCTCAGAGCACTCGGAAGACTTTGTTTGCTTGTGAAATGAAATAGACTGAGGCCACTAAGCTGATATAATATAGGCCGAAACCTATTAATCCCAAAAAAAGCCAAAAAATTTAAGACACAGACAAGCACATACACTCTTTTTACTGGTCGAAAGACGCAATATGAGGCCATTAGGTCGATATAATATAGGACAAAACCTATTAAGCCGAAAATAAAACTTGTCATGAAAAACTTGAACAATAATTTTTTAAAGCATTTTGTGCCATTCACAGGTGAGCATAGAAAATAGGTTTCCGTTGAACGGAATTGAGATAACGTCACTCGGTCAATAAAAAATAGGCCGAAAATATTTGTGCAGATTAAAGTTTTTAAGCGAAAAAAAAATAAAACAAAAAATATATATATACAAAGTCAAGATTAGCAAAAGTATACGCAGCAGAGAAAAATCAGATCACTAAAAGCAACTATAATTAAAAAAAAACTTGAAAAAATACATTATGAGGCAACTAGGCCGACAAAACATAAGAAGGAGGCCAAGTAGCACTTCGCATACAAAGCTAAAATATGACCAATAATGCTACTGGGAAACACTGAATGAACAAAATTTTGAGTCTACAAAATTTCTCAAGAAACGCACGCCAATTATGAGTCTACATAATTGGTAAGTGACGCAAGCCAATTAAGACAAATTAGCAGTACCAGTCAATTTGAAAAAATGGAGTCTGCCAACTAACATGCCTCAATTTATAGAGCAGACGCATTTTAACTAGTGTACGAAAAAGTTCACTAAAACATCCGACCCTGCCCAGTTTCAAACCCTCTTATGTTGCTGTGGGTCTCCTTCTTTACCTCTACGCTACAGATCCATGATACCTTGAAGCTAAAGTGCTATTTGTAATATAATAGTCTGAGTTAATATTAGCATTGGCTGTTCTTAAAAGCTGCTTATTGATCGAAGTGAGCACTGTCAAAATGAACACATTTTGTCGCAAAAAAATTTGCGTCGCAACAATATTTGCGACTTAGGTTTGAAAAAAAAGATAGTTCATACAATAACACAAGCTTTGCTTGTGTAAGCAGACAATGAGAAGCCGACAACTTTTTTGAAACTGCTTATTTCCCACTTGAAAAAAAACAGGTCCTCTCAGATTAGAACCCAGGACCGTCCCAGGCGAATTCGTTACCTCCAGATCAGTTGGGCCGGAGACGCAAAGAAATTTGCATTCATTGTGAATAGAACCTAATTTTAGCGTTTCTAATTTTGACCATTCTGAGTACAAAATTCTTTACGGAAAACAAATCTAGTACCCGATTGCACTACCTTGCATAGCGCAACGGTAAAAAGTAACTAAAATAAAAACTGTATACAGAAAAAATTCCAAGATGTGGCAAATAAGCCGAATAAACATAAGCAGACAAACAATAAGCCGACAACTTTTTTGAAACGGATTAGTTCCGATTGAGAAAAAAACATGACCTGGTCAGATTCGAGTCTTTGCCGTCCCACGCGTATTCCTTACCTCCAGACTAAGTGTACCGGAGACGCTCCGAAACTTGAATTCAATTATGAATCAAGATACCAAGTGATTCTGTTAAACACGTTGTAAGCCCGAAGAAAGTCTATATTCCGACTTGCTAATGCTTGCTTATCGCAAGCGTAATTAGGTTGATGTGCTGTAAGACTCATTTGTCACTTTTTATTCTAAAAGATCGATCTGCTAAAAGATCGGTCGCCGACGGTCTCTTATGGAAATACAGCGCCTCTCAATGTTTTAATTTATTGCTTTGGTTAAGTCAAATAAAGCAGCAATTAAGTCTTCAAAATGAATACGCGGTACCTATTGATATATTTAATAAAAGTATTTGCTTAGAATTGCTGTGATGTGTGATCCTTTTGTCACACTTGGTTTTTGCATGGACCCCTCAATCACACTTATACACCTTCACGTAACTTCCAAAGACGTGGTCGGAACAACAATTCCGACGCATTTCCTTACATTTGTCATACATTTCGTCCGGAACACAGAGAAAGAGAGAATTACTGTTAGAATTCACCACATACAGTACCTGTTTTTATTAGGGACCACGAAATTTTTGAGGGACCAAACAAGTAAACTAGTACCCGCAATTATCCGTAAACTAGTACAGATTCCATTGCCATCAAAAACTCACCTTTAAGAATTTTTCTCCATTTGCTTTGCTCCCAATCTGCCAAATTACTACCTAATTTGGAAATAAATTTGTGTGCATTTCCTGATGTTATCAGATTAAACTGAGACTCAACTTCGCCGCTGACCATTGTCCAAAATCTGTAACAGAAGTGTTTTTTTTTAGCAAAACATGGAATACTGCTACGGAAAATCCGCTTTATCTTTACATTTTGTTACTTAGAAGAACTGTTTTCTCAGATAAGATTTTTCGAACTGTGCCATTCCGCCGGATGACACAGCATAACCTTCCCGCGACGGAAATAAAAGTGACTAAAGGCCTTACGAACAAAAAAGTGTTGCGACGGAGGGTCAGAATGTTCTGGAATTTTTAATTTTAAAATTTCGATTTGAAGGAGAACATTTCTGAGAAATAGAAAAAAGACGGCCATTTTGAATAAAATAGAGAAAAATCAGAACGACGCCATATTTTGTGACAAACGGTTGTATCCGAGACGAGAAAATTACGGAGCCTCTTATCGTGGCAATAACACACGATAAGGACCTTAGTGAGAGATATTTGTGGAGACGGAGGCTTCGGTGGGGGGAAGAGAAATACCACGGAACCCTCCCGGGACACGAAATATAGGAGATAAGAGTGTTATCTCAAGAAAATCACGGGAGCGGAGGCTTGGTCCCCCAGAGACTGTTATATGTGAAGGGACTGTGTAAACTAGCTATAACAGTTGCTGGAATGTCCTAGATATTAATTAAACACCGATATTATTTGATATTTCAGAGTATGAGTAGATAGAGAAAGGAAAGGGTCAATCCATCTCCAATGGATTTAATATAAAACTGTCACACAAAAACATATAAAAATAGGTTGTTCGAGCCGTGTTTTTAATGACAATCACGTAGTCTGAGGATCCGAGACTCAGCTATGTGGTTGTGTTCGCATGCAAACGAAAGCTGATCAAAAGTCGTTTGACTGATGGCCTAAAAATAGTAACTTTTTACTTTGCCCTAGACAGACCAGAAAATCAACTGGCAAGGTCGAGACGGTGAAAAACGAGTGGAATTAAGGTAACTGACGCCTGCCAGTCGTCAATAGGTACTTTTTCTACGCTCCGTCGCTGTGTGATATTTGGGCGAATGTTACATAGACGTTTTTATGGCGCTCCTGGGTGGGCCTGTTAAAGGCATGAAACCATCATGATCAGCAAGCGTTTCAGCGACGTACCCTCCGCTCCGGGCGTATGCCCGAGTTAGAGGCCTTAATGACCGTTTTTGTACTAGGGGGAAGGTGCGTACCCCTCCGTCTAGTACGATTTAGCTTTTTAACTTAGTTAACACCGAAAATTCCGGGGGCCGGAGGGTTAGGTGGGAAGTCATGAACCCGCTTATCCCGAGGTCCCGGGACCAAAAACAATTAAAGAGAAAGTGTAAAACCAAACAAAAATAGCGTATAACCAAGAAAAAGCCAAAAATAAATTTATTTAAAAACAAAAAAGTACAAAAAACAGTAAAAAATCCAAAAAAGACCAAAAACAGTAAAAAATCCAAAAAAGTGACAGTTTATATGTTATTTCCGGACGAGATGTGATCTGACCTTCCTATCTGTTGTTGTTTCAGATTGATTTATATCTTTCTGATAGAAAGATTGTGTGTTTTGGTGAAGGGTTGGATACCCTCCCTCGAGTGTAATTTGAGTGTTTAAGCACGTTAATGGTGATTTTGCCGGTGACCGGAGGGTAGAGTGGCAGGCTGATCAACGTGTTCCACACTCAACAGGGACACCAAGGACAACATCCGCAACGACTGTTGGGTATCGTTGAAGCAATTTTAGTATCGTTCGGGTACTATTTCCTTAAAACTTAAGTGGTGGGGGGCTCGATTGGCGCGGTCCGATTGTACCCTCCATCGATTGCAAATTTCCGAGTTAAGGGTCTTGATTCGGATATTTTGGTGCAAAGGAGGGTATAGTACTATTCATTAACGACTATTTATAGATTATTGTCCTTACTATATATTACTTATCTCCTATTTAGACCCAAGAAACACCCATTTTTTGTCGAAAATTACCAATTTTCGACCAAACTGTAGACCCCCAAATTTTCGGATATCCGAGCTTTTCCGATAGGCAAAAAGCTTTTATATAGAGAGTAGCCACGTAGTTCGATCCCCTTTATTAAAGAAACCGCGTGAGCAAAGATTCAGTGGAAGTTAGAAAAACGAGAATTTTTCGACCAAAATTTTGATAATTTTCTGTATTTTGTCAATCTGTTTTGGGGATCGAGTTTTTGAGTTTTTAGAGTTAGAGCAATAAAATTTTTTGCGTTAGGAGCGTGCTAGCATAACGTGCTCGGTTACTAGAGAAATTTTTGGGTAACCCTCCGAGTAGCTCCGTGGATAGAGCTAACGACTTAAGGTTTGGAAAAGGAAGGAATCGGAGGGTCCAAATTTGATAGTTTTTGGCCAAAATTTTGTTTCTAAACCAATTTTGGTCCGGTTTTTTGTATTATTCCAGTGCCGTACAGGGCTACTACGCTCATTTCAAGCATTTTTAGGCACTTTCGACCGGAATTGCGGAAAAAGTCTCTCAGATCCTACACAGGTGGAGAAAAAGGCCATTTTGACTAACGCGTTTTTGGCGATTTCTCAAAGACTAGTTATCCGATCGGGATAATTTTGGTACCAAAAGTCGACGTTTTTGACCACTTTTCCGAATCGCAACCGTTTTTGGGTTGATTATTTCGGAAAAGAAAAATTTTTTAGAATTTGTTGGTTCGGAGGGTCCAAGTAACGGGCAACCCTCCGAGCGGCAGAAAATTTTATCAAAACATTTTTTTATTCAACTGGGAAGGTTGACCGTGTCAGCCAACCTAGTTTTAAGTCAGGTAGACCGCTTTCAGAGGCTTTACTGCGGTGATTTGACCCTTTTTCTTGATTTTGGGAGAACCCTCCGAAGTGACCCTCCGGAGTCAGCTAAGCCCTTTAGCAACCCTCCTTAGTGGAAAATCTCCACGAGATCACCCTAAGAAGTTGAAGCAGCTCCCCCTAGAACCCTTAGCTTATTTTGACGCTTTTTGAAGCTAGCAGGAGAACCTTCAAAGTGAGATCAGAAAATTTGAAAATTTTGGAGGTACCCTCCGAGGTGACCCTCCGGAGCGTATTAAGCATCTTATTGACCCTCCTTAGTAAATTTAGGGGGACCCTCCGAAGTAGCTTGGGTGATTAAGATACCCTCCTAAGTAACTCGAGTGATTGAGGTACCCTTCGAGGTAACCCTCCAGAGTGTCTTAAACCTTTAGCGACCCTCCTTGTAAGAGACTTGAGTAAACCTTCTGTGGCAATTTGGGAAACGGAAAATATCCATTTAATTAGGATCATATTAGGATATTAGGCGTGCATATCAGGGTCATAAGAACCCATTCTGACCCGGAAATTCGTGATCAACTTTGGATTCTATATTGGGTGTATTAGAAGTACCCGAACAAGATTTTTTTTTTTTTTTTGATTGTGATTTTGGTTGAGTGGTTGCCTTGAGCTACTTAATAGGAAAGTTCGGGCAATCCGGGAACAAATAAAGGAAGACCTCGGTGGGTGTATTAAGCGAATACACACCCACTTGAGAAGAAGAATTGTTCCCTACTCTCGTGCACTTGGAGCAGTCCGAGTGTGGGAGAGCTTTTTCATAGATTTGACGAATTTTCGACCAAGAGGTTGCCTTGAGCTACTTAGTAGGACAGCTCGGGCAATCGCAGGACACCTAAGAGAAGACCTCGGTGGGTGTATTAGGCAAACACACACCCACTTGAGAAGACTGTGTCCTGGGCTTCGTTCTTTCGGATCGTTCCGATTGGGGGAAGTCTTTTTCTTTAAGACTAAGTTTTATTTACCTATTTCTGAATCATCACTGCTTTTTATCGAAGATTGTTTAATTTTAACAAAGCAGTGACTTGATAAATTGTGTGGCGATAAATTGATACTGACAAAAGGTCGCTGTCACCTGTAGGATATTCTTATCTGATTATCGATTGTGTGTTGTGTGTTGATTATATCTTGTGGAAACTTAGTGATACTGTTATACTATACAACCGGGTTGAGTTAGCATTATATCAATACTGAGTAGACCCTGTGTGTAACTTTAGCTGAGTCACTAATTTAGTCGTGAGAGATCTAAGAGACATTTTGATACTGACGGAATCGAGTAGGCAGCGTTAAGCGATTTAACTAAATCTTGTTTGTGGTACGGTTGCATTGCCATCAAATTACGAATACTTTCATTTTGTACAAAACTATGCAGCGCAGGGACTCGTTAGGATCGACTACTAAAATTCCCAGGCTAAGCAAGGGAAGCACGCGGAAATTTAGAACTAGGCGTAGCCAGACCTCGTTTAGCAGCGCTTCCGACGCGTTTGCTGAAGACGAATCGACTAAAGGTCAACCTGATCTTTCAGTGATCGAAATGAGACTAAGGAGCGAGAAAAACCTTGATGGCAATCAAGGGCGGAGCGCCGAGGCCGAGCCTGCGAGCGAAACGCCGGTGGATCCCTTTGACGAAGGGGAGCGAACGCTCATTCGACCCGACTTTGAGCCAGACGGGGTCCTCGAACGAGAGGAAGTCGAGAGGACAGAGGAGACCTCGGAGCGTTCCGAGGTCGAACCTCGGGAGGAAGTGTTGTACAGGGGAATGTCCAGATCAGAGACTAAGAGCTATAAATGGAGAAAGGAACCTTCACATCTGACAAGTGCACACTCATCCTTGGCCAAACAGAGTAACAACGCGATGATGTCGAGTATGAGTCCGGGTGAAGAGCAGACGTTCTCGAAGGCCAAGAAGAGTTGGAAGTCCTTGTACGACGAACGCATGGCGTCACTACCAACTGTAGGTTTGACTTCCAGGGATGACTACCCGGAGATAACCCATCCGGATGTGAACTTCACACCGTGCCCAAGGAACGACATGAGCAGGGAGGCATCTTCTGCCTCGCCGACCAGGCCTATGTCAGATGGGATAACGATGGGAGCATCATCAACGTTTGACAGACTGATGACGTCAATGCACAAGCAAAAGGGCGGTGCGTCATCAAGTACTAGGCTACAGCCACAGTTGACCTCGTCTTCTCTGGGGCTAACCCCGCCACTGGGGGCAGCTGGTGACAT